CTAATACCGTAAGATTTCAACCTATCGGATATATTATTAAAAGTAGCATCTAACGTTTTTTATCCTGGAATGAATTACGTTTTACTAGCCGTATTGCTTTTTTTTAGACACATAAAGACGACTCACTTGTCGAAAGTAGACGCTCTGAGAGCGTTTACTCGGGCTTCGCGATTCGTATCGCAATCAAATCGTACTTTACAAGTATAGAACACAGTAACAACAAATCAAAGAATCAGGATATTTAACACAAGAGTTAAGCTTAGTATTTACTAATCAAGTTGCTTCGTTGAGTATCCTCTTCATCTAATTGTTTGTTGTTTGCCTTACCTTCGAAGCTCTGTCCACTGAAGAAGATTTTTTATTTTTTCAACATTTTTTTATTTTTTTCAACATTTTTTTTATTTTTTTCAACATTTTTTAAATTTTTTTTCAACATTTTAAAATTTTTTTTTTAACATTTTTTAAAATTTTTTTCAACATTTTTTCAACAAAGCTATCTTTCAATTTGTGGCCACTCGTGGCTCCAAGAGTCTTGCGTGCGAATCGAGTAGACGTCTACGCCACCTATAGGAATAGTATGGGGAATGAAATATGGTCGATTTACAACGATAAATATTTCGAAATATGATTATTTTACACGTAAAATCAATAACACTTACTCACATCCTGTGTGTCCGATGTAGTTTCTGGCGATTTCTGCTGTTTTAAGCTTGCTTTACCGTCACTGTTATTTATGTTAAAAGACGAAATCAAGGCTGCACACTCCGATTTCGACCATTGTTCACGCGGTGGTGGTTTGCGCCCCGAAAATCCTCCCGATCGGCATTTTTCTCAGCTATACTTTAGTAACACTGCTTGTAGGGGATTTGAACCCATGACCTTTGCTGCACCGGTATCGCAGAGGTCATGGGTTCAAATCCCGTACAAGCCTAAAATCTTTTTTTCAGGCCTTATTTTCACTACTGCTCAAGTAGTGTTTATTACTGCGAAGATTGCTTTCATATTCAAAAGGCCTATTGTTGCGTCACACAGCGTTACTATTGTATACTCAATTGTGTTATAAATCTACTTTCCTAAGTAAAAGCAAATTAACTAATCGAGAGTGTTGTATGGTAAATCTATTATCTTAATCTTTGAATGAAGGACTGTTGAATTAGAGCAATGAAAGGAATCACTTGACCACTGAACTCTACAATGCATATGGCGTCACGCCGGGTAAGCCGGAAAGCAAAAGGCAGTCGATCATCAAAAGGTGTTGATAGGCTTGTGCGACTCCTGCTACTCGCTTGTGCCTTTAAATCTTCCGACTTAGCTGTTATTAAGATATCTTTTAATGACTTTCCTTTGTGATGTGATAATAAGGGTTAAGTTTAAGGTGTCATTTCCCTGTCTGTATGTTCTTGAGGTATGGCAAAGCCGGATGAGATTGTGTTACAAAAGGTAATATTTTCGATAAAGGGGTAAGTTTCTAAAGAAACTGTGGTGCTGCGTCGGTGGGAGAGTATAGCAGGTAATTTAGTGTTAACAACTGGGTTGAAAACGTAAATTAGCCACCGTAAAGGGTAAAAAAGCTGACGTTTCGAGCGTTAGCCCTTCGTCAGAGCGATGGACGATCGCAATCGCTCTGGACGATCGCTCTGACGAAGGGCTAACGCTCGAAACGTCAGCTTTTTTACCCTTTACGGTGGCTAATTTACGTTTTCAACCCAGTTGTTAACACTAAATTACCTGTAATATTTTCGAGTTTGACTAATGGTCGCAGGTCGTGGGTGTGGGTACAAGTCGTGTCAGTAATAGTTGCTAATTAATGGTTAATAGTTCATGTATAATAATAATAATAATAATAATAATAATATTAATAGTACTACTAATAATTAATTATTGTTCAGTATAAATTTTTTGGCATAGATTAGATGGATTAATTATGTATAACTTATATGTAAGTGAATCAATGAAATAGTAGTCTCACCGAGCTGATGCGATGATATTGGAATAAACAATAATATTTTACGATTGGTAGGAGCCTATTACTGGCTCCTGACAGCTAGAGAAGCGTTGTTTAATTTGTATACATTATGTCATGTTAATTATGTAAACTTAGACCATAATTGAGGGTGGTAAAGGGGAGAGTCCTTTGATCACTTTTCACGAAAAATAAAATGGCCATTCACGTTCCACGCAATATGAAATAGCCATTTCACGAAACGAAGATAAAAGGTGTGAAATTACCTGTTGGAATAAAGAGACCTGGGACCCAGAATGATGATTAGCTAATCACAATAACGGTTCAAGTCACATTTCGCGAAAAAAAAAAACAATCGTTTCGTAATTCTCATAAAAAAGCTGTTCACTGTTCACTGCTATGTAACCAACTAACGTTTCACGAAAAAAAACCGTCCCCCTCTACAATAATAACAATTAATTATTAGTAGAAGTACTATTATTATTATTATTATTATTATTAAATATGAACTATGAACCATTAATTGTTAACTATTACCAACACGAATTCTACCCACGACCCACGACCCACGACCCACGACCCACGACCCACGACCCACGACCCACGACCCACGACCCACGACCCACGACCCACGACCCACGACCCACGACCCACGACCCACGACCCACGACCCACGACCCACGACCCACGACCATTAGTCAAACTCGATATTTTCATGTGTGCGCGCTATTTTCTTTGTTTTCAAGTGTACTGTCTCTCCCGCAAAAGATAACGAGATACGGTTTTCAAAACTTTATTCTAAGTATTCTCTATTCTTTTAAGCATATTTCGTTGCAACGAGTCCTCGTGCGAAACCATTCAAATGGAAATGAGTTTGATTTGCATGAAAATGGATGTGCAGGTGAAACTCATTTTCTTATGAATGGTTTCGCACGAAGACTCATTTCGACACAGAGGTGAAAGGTAACTCGAAAATGGCCTATTGAAAATTCAACAAAAGATTAAAGGGAAACTCAGAAGAATTTGACAACTGTATGGTTCATGAATTTGCAAGGTTAGGCACAAAAAAAAAACGTCATTTAAATTACAGTTTGGTGTCGATAGACAGTAATTTCGAAACATTAAGAACTACATGCAGACCATTTTGCTGGCCACTACCATTTTCATCTTTGCTTAGAGCAGGGTTTTGCATTTTCGTACTTGCACTTGGAATTAACCCTCTGACCTCTAAGAGTGATTAGCATATAATTTCTCCCTACAGAGTCATTGCCATATTTAAACATTAAGATCACAGGAATTAACGAAATGATTAACAACTAAAGAAGCTATTGATTATTATACAAATTTTCCTTATTTCTTTATTAGGAAACGTAGAGAGAACAGAATGGAGAATGTACATGCTGATGTTAGGGTGTAATGGGTTAACTTTTGTATAAGCATGCGACCCTGAAATGCAAAACCGTAAAAGTACATAACAACAACAAATGCACGTGGCAATTTCACTTAACCTGTAGAGTTCAAGCTCGAATTTGAACTAAGGAGGGCCTTTATTTCTTCGAGTAGTAAAAACCGTCTTCCCATAGTCTTAACACCCATTTCCTTCAAATCGGCACGATCAGTACCTCTTAAAGCCTTCCCATACATTTTCTCAACTAAAATATAATGAACAAATAAATTTTCATTGCCCTCATCAGTTAGTTATGTAGAGTTCGAGCTCGAATTTGAACCAAGGAGGGCCTTTATTTCTTCGAGTAGTAAAAAAACCGTCTTTCCATAGTCTTAACACCCATTTCCTTCAAATCGGCACGATCAGTACCTCTTAAAGCCTTCCCATACATTTTCTCAACTAAAATATAATGAACAAATAAATTTTCATTGCCCTCATCAGTGAGTCATGCAAGTAAGTTTCTTCTATTAGACATATCCAGAGGAATTTCCCTTTTCTTCCTTTTAACTTGAAATTTCCTTCCCTTACTTACCTTACCGTGCTAGTGTGACAGGTACTAGAATAAAAAGATAACAAAAATTATGCGGCTGTATTTAAGCTAAGAATGCTCACCCCCTTAGTTAAATTTTCTATCTCTCCCCAGCCTTCCGCTGCAATTAAAGTCAAAGATGGCGTCTATAATTTTCGTTTAGGAATTACTGAGCACTCGCTCGCTAAAAGTACGCCTGCTCTGCAGGCTAGTCTCAATGGACTTAACCTTTGGCTGTAAAACGGAAAAAAATTAACTATTACGCGTAAAAATTGACAAAATTTAACCGTTAGTCGTAAAAGAAGTCAACCGTAAAATTTATTTCTTTCAATCACAATAAAAAGAAATGAACCGATAGGCCATCCACACTGTGCCAGTTCACCAGTTGTCGTGGATTAAATTAGGGAGTGTTTCAAGGTAGATGACATGAGATTATCATCGTTTTCTTTTTTCCATTAGGTTTCAAGACTTATTGAGAATCTTACACCTCACCTAAATAGACGTATTTCGTATCTGTCAATCACCCCTTTGAATTTCTAACACATTTGAATTTTTTATCAACAGATTTTCAAGTACTATCAAGATCGACTTTGGCTATTTACTAGCGACTCCTCCCAGAGAGACGTCATTCGAGAATACGATGAGTGGGCCGGAAACTATGACCAGGTAATTAAAAAAAGATGTCGACGCGGCAAAACAATAGGGTGGGGACCCGTCGAGCATAGACCACGGAGCTCAAATTTTTGCTAGAGTAAACTCTGCTTAACAACGGTTTTTTTTAGAAGATAGGCAAGCACCGGTGTTTTTTCAGGTTCTCACGAAGTGTGGCTTCTTAGCTCAGTTGGTAGAAGTGCCCAACTATTATCCGGGAGGCATGGGTTCGAATCCCGTCGAAACCTTAATTTTTTTTTCAGGCTTGTTTTATGCATGACACCAGTTTGGTGGTCTCAATCTGAAAAAACTCTGCAGTACTTTTTAGGCTCTTATATATCAGCAGCAACAGCAACAACAACAATCACTGTTTGACCAACACAACCGTGATTTTTATTCCCCATCAGAGTATGCAAGAACCCAACTACCACGTACCTCGACCATTTTCCAGGCACTTCGACGCTTCAGTGTGCAATCTGTTTCCAGATGTCGACAAGAAAAGTTTTAAAGTTCTTGACGTGGCGGCTGGAACAGGCCTGTTGGGGTTAGAATTAAACAAACTTGGATATACCAATATTGATGCCCTTGACATGTCGCAAGAAATGCTTAACAGAGCTATGATGAAAAATGTCTACAATAAACTTATCTGCGCCGCCATGACTGATCAGCTGATAAATGGTATCGAGACCGCGGAGTATGATGCATTGACGTGCAGCTCTGCGGTATGCACTTCGCATGTCCGGCCCAGTGCATTTGAGGAGATGGTAAAAATTGTCAAACCAGGTATGAGAGATATAGAGAATATTTCTCTTTCGTTCAGTTTTTGCTTCTTTCCTGCGTTTGTTAGTACAGGGTCGACTATTCCGTGACCTGGAAAGGTCAAGTGATCTTAAAAATGTTGAATTATCATTCTATTTAAACTTAAATTCTACCCTTTGATTTCGTAATTGTCATATTTGATATTATCTTTTACAAACAAAGATTTAGAAGAATTCTAGTCAACAATCCTTGTCAAAACTCTCGCGATGTTTAAAAATTATTCCACGCACAAGCGTTGGATATGTTGGATATGAGCTGGCTAAAACCAGTCTTGCATCAAACAAGCGCTAATGAAATAATTGTTTTATTGATTTTTACTAAATCCTCAACGTTTAGATATTTGCAGCCTTTTTTTTTTTTTTAGCTCCGCAACAGTTGGCGCGATGCATTTCCGCATAAGGTGACTCAGAATATGAGGAGATAACCGGAATTGAGTGAACCAATCAAAACGTTGAAAATTTAATAAAGGTATTTATTAACTTTCAACTTTGAACTCATGATGTGTTTTTTGCAGGAGGGGTTTTGTGCTTCAATATAAGTCTCGTGGAAGAGAAGAATTACGAAGAAAAACTAAATGAGTTGGAAAATAATGGGAAATGGCGACTCGTTCAGCAGGAGAAGATTCCTTTCGTACAGGTAGAAAATTTAGAGGAGTGTTATTTGTACATTTACCAGCGTCAGTAAACTCTAAGGTTAAGCAGTCAAAACTCAACACAGGAAATGCTATTCTCTTTCGAGGCAGTTTTCGATGATCTTGTTGAGGACATGTTTGTTGCAATGTTTTTGTTGTGATTTTTCCGAGAGATGTCGCTGGGACTGAAAGGGAGCTAGGTATACTTACTAGGTAATTGAAGTATATGTCAGGCAAGATTTATTGTTATCTAAGAATTGTCTTTACATTAAAAAAAAAAAAGAGTGAATTGGCTTGGTGTCTGTTCTGTTCTGTTTCCAGCGCTAAGAAAAGCCGTAACTGTGTATCTGGTATGCTTGACTAGTGTTCCTTTTAAGGTCATTCTAAGAGTATTAGAGTCTATTTCCTGCACGATCACATTTAGTTTACACATACAGTCGACCCCCGTTATTGCGGACACTCTCGGGGGGAGATTTAGTGTCCGCCGGTAATAGCGAGAGTCCGTAAAAATGGCGGGTACGAGAGAAAAAAAAATAAAGTTTCTAACGTGGCCTCACGAACCGGAAAAATATCCGACCGCTAGCAGGGAATTCTCATATTTACACCCAATTAAAGAACGGTTTCTTTATTTTCCTTTATCGCCATCAGTACTGTCGGTCTAAATTATGTGAGTCCAGGAGTTTGGACGAAGTGTCTGATTGGTCGGCTGCTAAAAATGTGTCATAAGTCGTGCGCACGTCAACATCTGTGATTGGTTGCTGTTCGTAATCCATTTCCAAGCAATTTTGTAGAATTTACAGTAAAACACGTTAGTCGTCGAAGTGTAAGGAAGTGTATGATGAGGTTCTGAAGACGAGAGCTGGAATGATGATGTACGAAGAAACGTCCTCGATAGGGAAGGAAGTTTGTACTCTTCTTCAGGAAAGGTAAATATTGTACTTTTGTTGGAAAATACGAGAGTTTAGCTGCATAGACTTATCTCAAGCTTTTTTCCGTTAATTGAATGTAAAATTTCGGAACAAACGAGTCGGCAAGTAGCAACAGAACAACCAAGACTCGACTTAGAGCCGAGACAACGAAAGGAATTATTTCGTAACATAACCGTAACACTTTAATACAACTCACGAGATTAAATTTTGAATTAATATGGTTCGTAACAGCCCGTGTTCAGTTTGTTTCTTGACATTAAAACCTTTCCGACTAGGTGGAAAAGACTTGTTCGTGGTTTGTCTTGTTTCGATGGGCTGGTCTCTTCTTGTTAATAAGTTTCTACCAAACTTTTTAAAGACAAACTCGAAAAACAAACTTCATAAGACCGATTACTGTTTTGATCATTTTCTTGTTTTTGTTTTGTTTTGCTTGATTGTTTTTTATTCAAAGGAGGATTTTCTGGTAGCCTTGACTTTGTGTAGTCGACCCATTTTCCGGGCTCTTTTTCAAACATACGGAACGTGGGCTGTCAAAAAATCAGTCAAGATAACTTGATCATTTTCGGTGTTCTCTCAACGGCGTCCTTAGATTCTTTAAAAAGCCATAGGCAAATAATGTAAACCATCAACATTTCACACAGCTTTCAAGAGTTAATCTAAATTGCATTTACTATTGTTTAAATAACTTAATAAAGTTGCAATACTATTACTGATTCAGTTAATGCGCGTATTACGAGACTTTATTTAATATTTCTTGAGTAAGTAAATTCCTTATCTTCTGTCAAACAACAGGCAATTCTCATTTGACATTATTTTTTTGTTGTTGTATTAGACAGCTTTGCTGTGGAAAAAAGTTTTCTCTTTTCTTGGAAATTGTGATAAACAAATGGGACTCCCGCTGTGCGGTCGTCTGATTTTGTTATCACTCGTATGATTACAGACCCAATTGGACTTCACTCAGTCCTATTACCATTACTTATTTCGAGAAATTCTAAATAAATTACAGCGATCGTCAAATCCTTAACCGCCGTTCGGTCTACTCGCCTGTTGTTCGTTTAAGTGTTATTTTCTAAACAGGATTTCTACAGGTCGTCATTGAGTGACCTTAAAAAAAGTAAGCTTGTATAAAAGGCAAGTAGTCTTCTACATCAGTCGGTTTGTAGTTATAAATCAAAGAAGCCCTCTCTTCCTCTGCACTGGAGAATCGATGAGTGCTGGAGCGCGCTGCCGATAACAGAGAGGAATTACTATCATTACAATTCTGATTGTTGTTATAATTAACCTTTTCCCTCCCTAGATTTCATAATTAGTAATTTGTCTTGCTGTCTGCCATACGATTCTTATGATGCTAGTTTTGGTATTGGATCAACTAATCATCCTCTAATTGATATTTTCTTTATTCTCATCACTTGTCTGCTTGATATTGTATTGGTAGTGTAAGGAGAAATTCTGTCCTGGTCACCAAAGGGAGTTAAAGGGTTAATGAATAAAGTATCTTCTTCCATGATACTACAAGCTCAGAATAGAACATTTCTAGATCGCAGCACTCTCATAAGTTCACTGCTGTTACCAGGATCACTTCAACAAAATTAACCGATCACACTATAGGAAATAAACAATGATTCCAATTCAATTCAATTTTAGGCAAAACAAGCAAAATATTGCAAAAAGTTTAAATGTTGTTCATCGTTGGTTGTGACATGTTGTGTAACATGTCATTTTTGATAGAAGAGATCTTGGCCTGAGTTTCTGTTATTTTTTCTAGTTTCCTGTTCTGCATTTTGATCCACTCGTTTTGAATAAATCAATTACTGAGACTTTTTTTCGGTCAATGGATCATTGTAACTATAGTACCATTGAAATATCATTATAAAAATTATCTGCCATCGGTTATGGCTATTTTTTGTTAAGGAAGAGAAACTAAATCTATTTTCAAGCTCACCTTTTTGAATTAGGAAATTTGCGAAATACTGGCCTGACACAACATCTGCCAGCGAGTGATTAATATCCATATCTCTGCGCCATTCAAACTGGGATTTAGCCGGGTGCCAGTGTAAAAGGTAGACTGGATAACGCTTACCTGTAAATAATGCAATTAGACTCTTGCCATCACTCCTGAGCGAGCTCTTTAAGAGAGCAGTCGACCTCTCTTTCGTGAAGATTTACCAAAAGCATATGATAAAGGAATTCTTCCTTTTTATTTTTTCTATTTGCACAAAACATTACAAGTAAGAAATTTACAACTGATAATTTTTTTTAGAAGAATTGTACATGACGAGCTTTGCTCACCAAAAGAATTTATGCAAATGAGGCTGAGGCGGATCTGAGATCCGCCTGACAATTATTAACTGTAAGAGAAGAACTGACTTCGCGCCCACAGAACGACCGAGGTGTTGCGGATGAATTTTCAGTAATTACTTTTTTGGCACTTTTCGGCGTCCAAATTGCATGGCGAGAGTAACCCAAAACCTTAAAGTTGACCCTTCTTGTCACAATACGAATGTTTTCCAGATAGGGACACGCGTTAATGTCAGCTTCACTCGCGTGATTGCATTTTTCAAGGTTAAACCCTCGCGTGGAACTAACAACTCAAGTTTACTTTAAAGCGCACAATGTAAGCCAAAGAAATTTTATAATTTAACTACATGATCGAAATTTTGTTTACGAAGGATAATAATGGATCGACATCGACCTGGAGCGTCAGCTTCACTCGCGGGGAGTCAACCATTTTCTCTTGCCCCTTGCGCAACATAGAATGCAAATTTGCTGACCCACTCTATTGATACACACAACTCGACAATCGTTAAGAGTTGAAAAAGATGAAGTTTTTTACCAAAACCATGTTTTTCCGATTTTTAAACGCTAACAAAAATGTAGTTATGGTATGTCCACTCCGGAAAATAATACCGCAAGCAACAGCAAGCCCTAACCGCGATGAGAACACTCATGGATCACACAGCGCAACAGACCTCATTTTGTTTGTTTGTTTGGGTTTTTTCCGATAATATTGGCCTGTAAAGAAATATATAACGGAGTTTTTTTGCACCCTCCGCCGCAACCATTTAATTGGCTAAATGCTAAGGGAGTACTATACTTTAAAGATATCATTAAAGGAGTAAAATCTTTAAAAAAATTTTCCTGCTGGGGTTTCCTGGCGCGCCACTGCGAACACAGCGAACCTCTTGTATAAGGCTGCGAGAAAATATAAAAGGACAAGTAGAAAAAGTTCTTTACTCACAAATCTCTTTTACAATCTATGACCGATTTTACATCTCGTTTCTGAAGCAAGAGTTGGAAATGTAAATACAATTTAATATGTTACGAGAAGAGGTATTTTACTCGTTGGTAATTTTATTCCTAAACTCGTTATTTATTTTTAATTGAAACATCACGGGATTTGAGGACAGACACCACCAAGGCAAACACAACATCGACGTAAAAATTACCAGTCAACGGAACGTGCACTTATTTGGTTAGTCATCTCAACAGGAAAACTATCTTTTTTTATGAAAACAAACATTGCTTTTTCATCACGACTTTTCGCGGTTAACGTTCAATGAAATCTGCAAAGGAAAAAAAATTAAGACAAGTAAATTTAATTATGTCGCAATTCATACTCAAAATTAGTTTGTCATAAGATGAAAACACACAGTCTAAATTGAAACAACTCCCAAAGAGAGACAGAACCAAATAAAAAAAGGAACGATTTTGCCTTCAGATAACAACAGTCCAAATAGAACTGACTACCCAAGAGAGACAGAACCAGGTGAAAAAAAAAAGGAAAGGTTCTGCCTTCAGATAACAACAGCCCAAATAGGACTGACTACCCAAGAGAGACAGAACCAGGTGGAAAAAAAAGGAAAGGTTCTGCCTTCAGATAACAACAGCCCAAATAGGACTGACTACCCAAGAGAGACAGAACCAGGTGGAAAAAAAGGAAAGGTTCTGCCTTCAGATAACAACAGCCCAAATAGGACTGACTACCCAAGAGAGACAGAACCAGGTGAAAAAAGGGAAAGGTTCTGTCTTCAGATAACAACAGCCCAAATAGGACTGACTACCCAAGAGAGACAGAACCAGGTGAAAAAAGGGAAAGGTTCTGTCTTCAGATAACAACAGCCCAA